GAAGAGAGTAGCTGAGTAGCTGTAGGCTAGGGAAGAGAGTAGCTGAGTAGCTGTAGGCTAGGGAAGAGAGTAGCTGAGTAGCTGGAGGCTAGGGAAGAGTAGCTGAGTAGCTGTAGGCTAGGGAAGGAGTAGCTGAGTAGCTGTAGGCTAGGGAAGAGAGTAGCTGAGTAGCTGTAGGCTAGGGAAGAGTAGCTGAGTAGCTGTAGGCTAGGGAAGAGAGTAGCTGAGTAGCTGTAGGCTAGGGAAGAGAGTAGCTGAGTAGCTGTAGGCTAGGGAAGAGAGTAGCTGAGTAGCTGTAGGCTAGGGAAGAGAGTAGCTGAGTAGCTGTAGGCTAGGGAAGAGAGTAGCTGAGTAGCTGTAGGCTAGGGAAGAGAGTAGCTGAGTAGCTGTAGGCTAGGGACGAGAGTAGCTGAGTAGCTGGAGGCTAGGGAAGAGAGTAGCTGAGTAGCTGGAGGCTAGGGAAGAGAGTAGCTGAGTAGCTGTAGGCTAGGGAAGAGAGTAGCTGAGTAGCTGTAGGCTAGGGACGAGAGTAGCTGAGTAGCTGTAGGCTAGGGAAGAGAGTAGCTGAGTAGCTGTAGGCTAGGGAAGAGAGTAGCTGAGTAGCTGTAGGCTAGGGAAGAGAGTAGCTGAGTAGCTGTAGGCTAGGGACGAGAGTAGCTGAGTAGCTGTAGGCTAGGGAAGAGAGTAGCTGATTAGCTGTAGGCTAGGGAAGAGAGTAGCTGAGTAGCTGTAGGCTAGGGACGAGAGTAGCTGAGTAGCTGTAGGCTAGGGAAGAGAGTAGCTGAGTAGCTGGAGGCTAGGGAAGAGTAGCTGAGTAGCTGTAGGCTAGGGAAGAGAGTAGCTGAGTAGCTGTAGGCTAGGGAAGAGAGTAGCTGAGTAGCTGGAGGCTAGGGAAGAGAGTAGCTGAGTAGCTGGAGGCTAGGGACGAGAGGCTGAGTAGCTGTAGGCTAGGGAAGGAGTAGTTGAGTAGCTGTAGGCTAGGAAGAGAGTAGCTGAGTAGCTGTAGGCTAGGGAAGAGAGTAGCTGAGTAGCTGTAGGCTAGGGAAGAGAGTAGCTGAGTAGCTGGAGGCTAGGGAAGAGAGTAGCTGAGTAGCTGTAGGCTAGGGAAGAGAGTAGCTGAGTAGCTGTAGGCTAGGGAAGAGAGTAGCTGAGTAGCTGTAGGCTAGGGAAGAGAGTAGCTGAGTAGCTGTAGGCTAGGGACGAGAGTAGCTGAGTAGCTGTAGGCTAGGGAAGAGAGTAGCTGAGTAGCTGGAGGCTAGGGAAGAGAGTAGCTGAGTAGCTGTAGGCTAGGGAAGAGAGTAGCTGAGTAGCTGTAGGCTAGGGAAGAGAGTAGCTGAGTAGCTGTAGGCTAGGGAAGAGAGTAGCTGAGTAGCTGTAGGCTAGGGACGAGAGTAACAGAGTAGCTGTAGGCTAGGGAAGAGAGTAGCTGAGTAGCTGTAGGCTAGGGAAGAGAGTAGCTGAGTAGCTGGAGGCTAGGGAAGAGAGTAGCTGAGTAGCTGTAGGCTAGGGACGAGAGTACAGAGTAGCTGTAGGCTAGGGAAGAGAGTAGCTGAGTAGCTGGAGGCTAGGGAAGAGAGTAGCTGAGTAGCTGTAGGCTAGGGAAGAGTAGCTGAGTAGCTGTAGGCTAGGGAAGAGAGTAGCTGAGTAGCTGTAGGCTAGGGAAGAGAGTAGCTGAGTAGCTGTAGGCTAGGGAAGAGTAGCTGAGTAGCTGTAGGCTAGGGACGAGAGTAGCTGAGTAGCTGGAGGCTAGGGAAGAGAGTAGCTGAGTAGCTGGAGGCTAGGGAAGAGAGTAGCTGAGTAGCTGTAGGCTAGGGAAGAGGTAGCTGAGTAGCTGTAGGCTAGGGAAGAGAGTAGCTGAGTAGCTGTAGGCTAGGGAAGAGAGTAGCTGAGTAGCTGTAGGCTAGGGAAGAGAGTAGCTGAGTAGCTGTAGGCTAGGGACGAGAGTAGCTGAGTAGCTGTAGGCTAGGGAAGAGAGTAGCTGAGTAGCTGTAGGCTAGGGAAGAGAGTAGCTGAGTAGCTGTAGGCTAGGGAAGAGAGTAGCTGAGTAGCTGTAGGCTAGGGACGAGAGTAGCTGAGTAGCTGTAGGCTAGGGAAGAGAGTAGCTGAGTAGCTGTAGGCTAGGGAAGAGTAGCTGAGTAGCTGTAGGCTAGGGACGAGAGTAGCTGAGTAGCTGTAGGCTAGGGAAGAGAGTAGCTGATTAGCTGTAGGCTAGGGAAGAGAGTAGCTGAGTAGCTGTAGGCTAGGGACGAGAGTAGCTGAGTAGCTGTAGGCTAGGGAAGAGAGTAGCTGAGTAGCTGGAGGCTAGGGAAGAGATAGCTGAGTAGCTGTAGGCTAGGGAAGAGAGTAGCTGAGTAGCTGTAGGCTAGGGAAGAGAGTAGCTGAGTAGCTGGAGGCTAGGGAAGAGAGTAGCTGAGTAGCTGGAGGCTAGGGACGAGAGTAGCTGAGTAGCTGTAGGCTAGGGAAGGGTAGCTGAGTAGCTGTAGGCTAGGGAAGAGTAGCTGAGTAGCTGTAGGCTAGGGAAGAGAGTAGCTGAGTAGCTGTAGGCTAGGGAAGAGAGTAGCTGAGTAGCTGGAGGCTAGGGAAGAGAGTAGCTGAGTAGCTGTAGGCTAGGGAAGAGAGTAGCTGAGTAGCTGTAGGCTAGGGAAGAGAGTAGCTGAGTAGCTGTAGGCTAGGGAAGAGAGTAGCTGAGTAGCTGTAGGCTAGGGAAGAGAGTAGCTGAGTAGCTGTAGGCTAGGGACGAGAGTAGCTGAGTAGCTGGAGGCTAGGGAAGAGAGTAGCTGAGTAGCTGGAGGCTAGGGAAGAGAGTAGCTGAGTAGCTGTAGGCTAGGGAAGAGAGTAGCTGAGTAGCTGTAGGCTAGGGACGAGAGTAGCTGAGTAGCTGTAGGCTAGGGAAGAGAGTAGCTGAGTAGCTGTAGGCTAGGGAAGAGAGTAGCTGAGTAGCTGTAGGCTAGGGAAGAGAGTAGCTGAGTAGCTGTAGGCTAGGGACGAGAGTAGCTGAGTAGCTGTAGGCTAGGGAAGAGAGTAGCTGATTAGCTGTAGGCTAGGGAAGAGAGTAGCTGAGTAGCTGTAGGCTAGGGACGAGAGTAGCTGAGTAGCTGTAGGCTAGGGAAGAGAGTAGCTGAGTAGCTGGAGGCTAGGGAAGAGAGTAGCTGAGTAGCTGTAGGCTAGGGAAGAGAGTAGCTGAGTAGCTGTAGGCTAGGGAAGAGAGTAGCTGAGTAGCTGGAGGCTAGGGAAGAGAGTAGCTGAGTAGCTGGAGGCTAGGGACGAGAGTAGCTGAGTAGCTGTAGGCTAGGGAAGGGTAGCTGAGTAGCTGTAGGCTAGGGAAGAGAGTAGCTGAGTAGCTGTAGGCTAGGGAAGAGAGTAGCTGAGTAGCTGTAGCTAGGGAAGAGAGTAGCTGAGTAGCTGGAGGCTAGGGAAGAGAGTAGCTGAGTAGCTGTAGGCTAGGGAAGAGTAGCTGAGTAGCTGTAGGCTAGGGAAGAGAGTAGCTGAGTAGCTGTAGGCTAGGGAAGAGAGTAGCTGAGTAGCTGTAGGCTAGGGACGAGAGTAGCTGAGTAGCTGGGCTAGGGAAGAGAGTAGCTGAGTAGCTGGAGGCTAGGGAAGAGAGTAGCTGAGTAGCTGTAGGCTAGGGAAGAGAGCTGAGTAGCTGTAGGCTAGGGAAGAGAGTAGCTGAGTAGCTGTAGGCTAGGGAAGAGAGTAGCTGAGTAGCTGTAGGCTAGGGACGAGAGTACAGAGTAGCTGTAGGCTAGGGAAGAGAGTAGCTGAGTAGCTGTAGGCTAGGGAAGAGAGTAGCTGAGTAGCTGGAGGCTAGGGAAGAGAGTAGCTGAGTAGCTGTAGGCTAGGGAAGAGTAACAGAGTAGCTGTAGGCTAGGAAGAGAGTAGCTGAGTAGCTGGAGGCTAGGGAAGAGAGTAGCTGAGTAGCTGTAGGCTAGGGAAGAGAGTAGCTGAGTAGCTGTAGGCTAGGGAAGAGAGTAGCTGAGTAGCTGTAGGCTAGGGAAGAGAGTAGCTGAGTAGCTGTAGGCTAGGGAAGAGAGTAGCTGAGTAGCTGTAGGCTAGGGACGAGAGTAGCTGAGTAGCTGGAGGCTAGGGAAGAGAGTAGCTGAGTAGCTGGAGGCTAGGGAAGAGAGTAGCTGAGTAGCTGTAGGCTAGGGAGAGTAGCTGAGTAGCTGTAGGCTAGGGAAGAGAGTAGCTGAGTAGCTGTAGGCTAGGGAAGAGTAGTACTGAGTAGCTGTAGGCTAGGGACGAGAGTAGTTGAGTAGCTGGAGGTAGGGAAGAGAGTAGCTGAGTAGCTGTAGGCTAGGACGAGAGTAACAGAGTAGCTGGAGGCTAGGGAAGAGAGTAGCTGAGTAGCTGTAGGCTAGGGACGAGAGTAACAGAGTAGCTGTAGGCTAGGGAAGGAGAGAAATGAGAATAGAGCCGGAGGCTGTACCTGCCTAGGTTGTGTGTGTGGGACTGTCTCCCCAGTGAGTCCTGAGGACTAGTGTCATCGGAATAAAAGCGTGTGGCCTATACGACGTGTCGGTCTCATTCAAGAATACTACACATGCATGACATACAACACAGATGGAATTACAGTCCTCTCTCTTGGTCCCACGGTGCAACCAAGCAATACAAAATTAATCACAATTAACAGACATAAATAAACAATCAACAATCGGCGATCAACACAGATGAATAATCAAAAATGTAATAACTTAAAATAGACAACAGTCAAGAATTTTTTAAAATGTAAAATATTATTTAAATAAAGTATTTAAAGAAATAAGATATTGAAACCAGTGTGGTAGTGCGATGTAGTGCAATGTGCAGTCCAGAGATCAGGATGTACGAGTGAATGTGTGTGTGGGGGATGGGGTCAGGGGGCAAAGGGGGGGTGGGTGGGCAGAGGAGGAGGGGGCTCTCTGCCTCTGCTAAGTAAGGGAGACTGCTCAGTCAGCCGTGTTGACGTGAGTTGATGGTGGCGATGTGGAACAATGAGAAGCCAACTCTGTGACCTGGCTTACCAGGTCTTGGATGGCTTCCGATCCCTGTATAGTGCCAAACAGCTTGATGGTGTCAAATGCCATGTAGTAGGAAGCCATCAATCTACCGACATCTGTGCAACATAAAACCAGTTTTGTTGAAATAGCAAAACATTAAAAGAAAGGCAAAGGAGGTCCCGTGATATGTCAAAAATTAACCCGTAACAATCAAAGTTTTTCACTATAAATCCTTTATATGCGTGGCGGCTAGAGTCCTCTCGTCCTCTGGCTTGAGATGGCTGCCACCTATGGGTCAGATGATTGCCTGCCACCATTAAGCAATTGGTAATTAAATATAAAAAAATCTTAAAAAGTGTATAATTTTGGAAAAAAATTTTTCACGAACATTAATTGTCTCGCACAACGAGTCTGTGTGCAAAATGTCAGCTCGATTGGATCACGGGAAGTGGGTTAAAAAACGACCAAAAGATTTGCACGGTCGTAAGCAAGCAAGCACTCAAGCAAGCAAGTGAACTTAATATAAAGGATTTAAAAATAAACTTAAATTAAATGCCAGGGTACCGGTGGCTATACTTCATGCCTGTAATACAGGGTGGCTCGATCAAACACAAATTCTAGATTTGAAGCTTTCGTGACTGCAAGGATTCATATTCTTAGGTTTTTTCGGTAAAGTCACGTAGGTAAAAAATGTAAAATTAATAAAATAAAATAAAAATCACGACGTTTCGGAGGCAACACAAGCTTCCGTCTTCAGGTGGAACCGTCACAGCCACGACAGCCGTATCAAGTAAATGAGAGATTGCAAGAGCTACCACTCTTTTTATTAAACCAACCATCATATATACGGAGTGGTAGCTCTTGCAATCTCTCATTTACTTGATACAGTTGCCGTGGCTGTGACGGTTCCACCTGAAGATGGAAGCTTGTGTTGCCTCCGAAACGCCGTGATTTTTATTTTATTTTACTTTTATTCATTTTTATCTTTTTAACCTACGCGGTGACTTTACCGAAATAACCTAAGACTACAAACACAAATTGTAAAAACTCCCTTCCCAAGGTCGCCAATATCGCCATATGCTTGGCTTGCCAGGGTATGGCAGAAGAGCAAATTCGTGACATCCATATGCACGGATATTGAGTTACTACCCCTGGCACATGTCAGTTTATTGTTCCATGCACAGACGCTCATTAACATTATAAAGGACTCTTCTCACCCTGGACACTCACTGTTTGAGCTGTTGCCATCAGGCAGACGATTCAGATCGGTCAAAACAAGGACAAACAGATTCAAACAGAGCTTTTATCCTACAGCGATCAGCACACTCAACAATGCTAATTAATTATTAAGTAATAGCGTTTACAATTGACTGTGAAATAGAGATGTGCAATGACAAAATGTGACCTTATGTGGGTATGTGGGTATACTTGGGCTGTTTTTATATATAGTATACATTGATTATCTTTCATTTAATTTTATTTTTATTTTCTTGTTTAATTCAATTTAAATTTATGAATGATGCCCTGACTGGTGAGCATTTTAAATTTCGTTGTACTGGTGACAATGACAATAAACGATCTATATTGCATATTGCTATAATTCATGGAGTTGGAGAAACATCCCAATATAGCGGCACAGGGCGTGGGCAGTTGTTGGCAAATGCTCTCACTGCCTCCCCTGCTGGTCTGTGCGTTTCCTCCTGTGACTCCGCTAGGAAGCTGTGCACGTTACAAATTCTACAGCACCTTCTGAGATTTGCACTGATGACTGGACACTATATACGAATAAAATGTGAAATGACATTATGTTTTTTCATCACAAATAGAGAAAATAAACACGTAGTAATAATAATAAGCAGAATGATGAATTACCTGTTGGCTTAATATATCCGTTCTGCATACAAATTAGCTTGTAAGTGGCCAGTGAGTTCAAACTCTCTAAGCATAGTTCTGAAATAAAGAATGCAAAATAAACATTGACGTCGTTGTGGACAATACAACCAATGAACTAAGCAGGTCATCAGCCTTCCCATATTTGTTAAAATCTAAAATATGCTCGACACATTCATAGCTAACAGAGCAGATCCCTGCCTAGTGACGTCTGGCAGGTCACTAATATTGGTTCAAGCAAGCCTGACTGCTTATACATTGAATGTCGAAACGGGTCCAGGTTTTCTTTATTGTCTTGAAACTGTAACGGGTTCCGGAGACACTTGTAGAGGTAACCTCTTAATTACAATACAACACTCCAACACTCCTGATACTCTGTTACAGCCTAGGTACATAGCCTAGCTACACAGCCTAGGTACACAGCCTATATACACAGCCTAGGTACACAGCCTAGGTACACAGCCTAGCTACACAGCCTAGATACACAGCCTAGATACACAGCCTAGGTACACAGCCTTGGTATACAGCTTAGGTACACAGCCTAGGTGCACAGCCTAGGTACACAGCCTAGGTACACAGCCTAGATACACAGCCTAGATACACAGCCTAGGTACACAGCCTAGGTACACAGCCTAGGTACACAGCCTAGGTACATAGCCTAGCTACACAGCATAGGTACACAGCCTAGCTACACAGCCTAGATACACAGCCTAGGTACACAGCCTTGGTATACAGCTTAGGTACACAGCCTAGGTACACAGCCTAGGTACACAGCCTAGGCACACAGCCTAGAGACTCAGCCTAGGTACACAGCCTAGATACACAGCCTAGGTACACAGCCTAGATACACAGCCTAGGTACACAGCCTAGATACACAGCCTAGAGACTCAGCCTAGGTACACAGCCTAGGTACACAGCCTAGGTACACAGCCTAGGTACACAACCTAGGTACACAGCCTTGGTACACAACCTAGGTACACAGCCTAGATACACAGCCTAGATACACAGCCTAGGTACACAGCCTAGCGACACAGCCTAGGTACACAGCCTAGGTACACAGCCTAGATACACAGCCTAGATACACAGCCTAGGTACACAGCCTAGGTACACAGCCTAGATACACAGCCTAGGTACACAGCCTAGGTACACAGCCTAGGTACACAGCCTAGGTACACAGCCTAGCTACACAGCCTAGGTACACAGCCTAGCTACACAGCCTATATACACAGCCTAGGTACACAGCCTAGCTACACAGCCTAGGTACACAGCCTTGGTACACAGCCTAGGTACACAGCCTAGGTACACAGCCTAGGTACACAGCCTAGGTACACAGCCTAGCTACACAGCCTAGGTACACAGCCTAGGCACACAGCCTAGGTACACAGCCTAGCTACACAGCCTAGGTACACAGCCTAGGTACACAGCCTAGGTACACAGCCTAGCTACACAGCCTAGGTACACAGCCTAGCTACACAGCCTAGGTACACAGCCTAGGTACACAGCCTAGGTACACAGCCTAGCTACACAGCCTAGGTACACAGCCTAGCTACACAGCCTAGCTACACAGCCTAGGTACACAGCCTAGGTACACAGCCTAGGTACACAGCCTAGGTACACAGCCTAGGTACATAGCCTAGGTACACAGCCTAGGTACACAGCCTAGATACACAGCCTAGGTACACAGCCTAGGTACACAGCCTAGGTACACAGCCTAGGTACACAGCCTAGGTACACAGCCTAGGTACACAGCCTAGGTACATAGCCTAGGTACACAGCCTAGGTACACAGCCTAGATACACAGCCTAGGTACACAGCCTAGGTACACAGCCTAGATACACAGCCTAGATACACAGCCTAGGTACACAGCCTAGGTACATAGCCTAGATACACAGCCTAGGTACACAGCCTAGGTACACAGCCTAGGTACACAGCCTAGGTACACAGCCTAGCTACACAGCCTAGATACACAGCCTAGGTACACAGCCTTGGTATACAGCTTAGGTACACAGCCTAGGTACACAGCCTAGGTACACAGCCTAGGTACACAGCCTAGCGACACAGCCTAGGTACACAGCCTAGCTACACAGCCTATGTACACAGCTAGGTACACAGCCTAGATACACAGCCTAGAGACTCAGCCTAGGTACACAGCCTAGGTACACAGCCTAGATACACAGCCTAGGTACACAGCCTAGCTACACAGCCTAGATACACAGCCTAGGTACACAGGCTAGGTACACAGCCTAGGTACACAGCCTAGGTACACAGCCTAGGTACACAGCCTAGGTACACAGGCTAGGTACACAGCCTAGCTACACAGGCTAGGTACACAGCCTAGCTACACAGCCTAGGTACACAGCCTAGGTACACAGCCTAGGTACACAGCCTAGATACACAGCCTAGCTACACAGCCTAGCTACACAGCCTAGCTACACAGCCTAGATACACAGCTTAGCTACACAGCCTAGCTACACAGCCTAGGTACACAGCTTAGCTACACAGCCTAGGTACACAGCCTAGGTACACAGCCTAGGTACACAGCCTAGATACACAGCCTAGCTACACAGCCTAGCTACACAGCCTAGGTACACAGCCTAGCTACACAGCCTAGCTACACAGCCTAGGTACACAGCCTAGGTACACAGCCTAGCTACACAGCCTAGGTACACGATGGCTGGTCTTGGGTCTTGAGCTACCACTGGCCCTGATCGTCCAGGGAGCTCCCCTTTTATGCCTCGTCCCCAACGAGGGGTGGGGCCGTGTGCGCCCCCAGATATCCCACAGAGCACACACAGCCCCCCCCCCCTTTGGCGGCGCCAAGGGGCTTAAGCGCCTGGCCCGCCCAGGGTCCCAGAGCCCCCAGCAGCCCCTCCCTTCTTATGTCACTACAAAACCAACGCCGCTGAAAGTCTTCACTCCCAGAAGGCCGTGTGGCTGATTGGATATGTTATAAAACAATGATTGTATTCCGTTGGTACCTGATTTGCATTAAAAAAATATGATAATTGTGTTTTTTACCCTGATGATGATTGCTTGTGTTGCAATCGAAACGTCGTGAGCATTGTCTACGATCATTCCTGTAAAATTACAGTTTGATGTTAAATTATGTTAATATCACTATACCTTGCAGAAGTTTCTTCTCAATATCCTCTTTGCTCAGACCAGCGGCAAATTCTGTATCAGTGATTCACACAGAGTGCATTTATGTGTCAGTATGCTGCCTTGTTATGCATCGCTTGAGATGTACTTAAAATGGCTTTAACAGTTGAATATCTTGTCATAAATTTCGATTTAAAGCTTCTTTCGTGACTGCAGGGATTCATCTTCTTGGTTCTTTCGGTAAAGTCACGTAGAAGGGAAGTACATTTTTTTAAATATTATTATATTATATTATTATATTCTTTTATTAAATTATATTAATATATTATTTTATTATATTATATTATTAAATTATATTATTATATTATTTTATTATATTATATTATTAAATTATATTATTATATTATTATATTATATTTTTAAAGTATATTATTATATTATATTATTAAATTATATTATTATATTATTTTATTATATTATATTATTAAATTATATTATTATAGTATATTATTAAATTATATTATTTTATTATATTATTTTATTAAATTATATTATTATATTATATTATTTTATATTATTAAATTATATTATTATATTATTTTATTATATTAAATTATTATATTATATTATTTTATTATATTATATTATTAAATTATATTATTATATTATTATATTATATTATTAAATTATATTATTATATTATTTTATTATATTGTATTCTAATTATTTTCTTACTTCCCTTCTACGTGACTTTATCTTGTCATAGTCAAAACTATTTAAACACTTGATGTCAATGAACAAACTCTAAATTGTCAGAATGTTTAACATTGACCCCTTACAAATACACTCTAATTATGTTCTTTGTACTTCATAACATTCAAACATGTTATTTCCTCACAGCAATCGCGCTGTGAAGGTTCCACCTGAAGACGGAAGCTTGTGTTGCCTCCGAAACGTCGTGATTTTTATTTTACTTTCATTAATTTTAATTTTATATTTTACCTACACGGTGACTTTGCAAAAAAACCTAAGAGTATACTATCACACACATTAGCGATTCAAGAGGCAACGCTATTTTTTTTTGCATCTGTCACGCGAATATTGTACGTTTTCATTTTGAATTGCAAATGCATTTCTTACTGTAATACTTTGGGTTTTTGAGTGCCCGAACGTACAGGAATGTGGATCGGATCCAATCCAATGCCACGTTGACATCTGTGATCGTGTGCAAGACGATCTCTGCATTGAGGTGCTCTGTTAGATTCATGTGCAAACTGCAGGAGACCGAAGGTGTTGACAAATGAACGGTACATAGCAGAGGTGGGACAAAGTCATTGTTATGCAAGTCCAAGTCGAGTCTGAAGTCATCAAATTCATGACTCGAGTCTGACTCGAGTCCAAGTCACATGACTCGAGTCCACACCAGCTCAGAGGTGGGACAAAGTCATTGTTATGCAAGTCCAAGTCGAGTCTGAAGTCATCAAATTCATGACTCGAGTCTGACTCGAGTCCAAGTCACATGACTCGAGTCCACACCAGCTCAGAGGTGGGACAAAGTCATTGTTATGCAAGTCCAAGTCGAGTCTGAAGTCATCAAATTCATGACTCGAGTCTGACTCGAGTCCAAGTCACATGACTCGAGTCCACACCTCAGAGGTGGGACAAAGTCATTGTTATGCAAGTCCAAGTCGAGTCTGAAGTCATCAAATTCATGACTCGAGTCTGACTCGAGTCCAAGTCACATGACTCGAGTCCACACCAGCTCAGAGGTGGGACAAAGTCATTGTTATGCAAGTCCAAGTCGAGTCTGAAGTCATCAAATTCATGACTCGAGTCTGACTCGAGTCCAAGTCACATGACTCGAGTCCACACCTCAGAGGTGGGACAAAGTCATTGTTATGCAAGTCCAAGTCGAGTCTGAAGTCATCAAATTCATGACTCGAGTCTGACTCGAGTCCAAGTCACATGACTCGAGTCCACACCAGCTCAGAGGTGGGACAAAGTCATTGTTATGCAAGTCCAAGTCGAGTCTGAAGTCATCAAATTCATGACTCGAGTCTGACTCGAGTCCAAGTCACATGACTCGAGTCCACACCAGTCAGAGGTGGGACAAAGTCATTGTTATGCAAGTCCAAGTCGAGTCTGAAGTCATCAAATTCATGACTCGAGTCTGACTCGAGTCCAAGTCACATGACTCGAGTCCACACCTCAGAGGTGGGACAAAGTCATTGTTATGCAAGTCCAAGTCGAGTCTGAAGTCATCAAATTCATGACTCGAGTCTGACTCGAGTCCAAGTCACATGACTCGAGTCCACACCAGCTCAGAGGTGGGACAAAGTCATTGTTATGCAAGTCCAAGTCGAGTCTGAAGTCATCAAATTCATGACTCGAGTCTGACTCGAGTCCAAGTCACATGACTCGAGTCCACACCTCAGAGGTGGGACAAAGTCATTGTTATGCAAGTCCAAGTCGAGTCTGAAGTCATCAAATTCATGACTCGAGTCTGACTCGAGTCCAAGTCACATGACTCGAGTCCACACCAGCTCAGAGGTGGGACAAAGTCATTGTTATGCAAGTCCAAGTCGAGTCTGAAGTCATCAAATTCATGACTCGAGTCTGACTCGAGTCCAAGTCACATGACTCGAGTCCACACCAGTCAGAGGTGGGACAAAGTCATTGTTATGCAAGTCCAAGTCGAGTCTGAAGTCATCAAATTCATGACTCGAGTCTGACTCGAGTCCAAGTCACATGACTCGAGTCCACAGCTCAGAGGTGGGACAAAGTCATTGTTATGCAAGTCCAAGTGGAGTCTGAAGTCATCAAATTCATGACTCGAGTCTGACTCGAGTCCAAGTCACATGACTCGAGTCCACACCAGCTCAGAGGTGGGACAAAGTCATTGTTATGCAAGTCCAAGTCGAGTCTGAAGTCATCAAATTCATGACTCGAGTCTGACTCGAGTCCAAGTCACATGACTCGAGTCCACACCAGCTCAGAGGTGGGACAAAGTCATTGTTATGCAAGTCCAAGTCGAGTCTGAAGTCATCAAATTCATGACTCGAGTCTGACTCGAGTCCAAGTCACATGACTCGAGTCCACACCAGCTCAGAGGTGGGACAAAGTCATTGTTATGCAAGTCCAAGTCGAGTCTGAAGTCATCAAATTCATGACTCGAGTCTGACTCGAGTCCAAGTCACATGACTCGAGTCCACACCAGCTCAGAGGTGGGACAAAGTCATTGTTATGCAAGTCCAAGTCGAGTCTGAAGTCATCAAATTCATGACTCGAGTCTGACTCGAGTCCAAGTCACATGACTCGAGTCCACACCTCTGGTACGTAGTGGTGGTGGTTTTGCTGCTGCAGCTTCTTACTATTAAAATTACTTCCCTTTATGACTGCCAACCCTACTGCCTCCCCTTGTTGCTGCTAATCCTACATAATGCACGGGCATGATATGACTTTGAGACCCCCCCCCCCCCACCTCCTACACATTCCACAAGTAGTGACTAATCCCATATCTGCATTTTTCCATAAATATGCAAAATTCCTCTGTTGATATGCAAATCCCTTTGTCAAGGCGCCCTCCTACTCTAACCCAGCTTAAATATACGCTGCCAAGCTTGGTGGTGTTTCATTCAGACGCTGTCTTTCCGACAGACCTGTTCTTCACCTGAGGACGGCTGCTTGCGTTGTGGCCGAAACGTCGTGAGAATTGTATGTTATTGTGTTTGATTTTTATTGTTTTATTATTTCCCTTCTACGTGACTTTACCGAAAGTACTAAGAAGATGAAATTAACGGTAGCTACTTCATAGCGATGGGAACATGGAAGATGCAGAGAGGAAGATGATTAATGGAAATTCACAAAAGGTAGAAAAAAAACACATCATTCTGAACGTATCTTAAAATTAACTGAGAAAGTTTTCATTATAGCACGGAAATTGGAAAGATCCTGAACAAGATAGTATAATTCTAAATAAATGTTTATATTGATACGCTACTTTTCCTCAAAAGAACCAAAGAGCTGTTGCATGTGAAAATGTCATCGTTGAATACGTTGCACTCAGTAATTGCTCTAGTGTTCCAAAGAAATAGTAAGGACGTCAGCTTTCAATCGTGACTTCATAAACATTGACAATTCCCAATCACAAACATGTCTTTGGAGGGCATTCCACAGATGTAGAACCACACAGCAGAAGGCCCCATCGCCCTTGGAGTGCCGTCTCATTAGTGGGATGCAGAGAAGACTGGGATCCATGAAATGTAGATTGCGAGATAGAATACTGGGGTTCTAAAAGTCCCAAATGTAGGTGGGTGCTTTATGGGCAAGTAACACGATCTCAGAGTCGATTCTAAGATTCACCCAGAGCCCAAGTGGAGATTGCAGAACACGTGTGTGATCTATCTTCTTGGTTCTTTCGGTAAAGTCACGTAGAAGCTCATTCAGACGCTGTCTTTCCGACAGCCCTGTTCTTCACCTGAGGACGGCTGCTTGCGTTGTGGCCGAAACGTCGTGAGAATTATTTTATTATGTTTTATTTTTATTATTTTATTATTTCCCTTCTACGTGGTGACTTTACCGAAAGAACCAAGAAGATAAATTAGTATTTCCCCAGAATGACTGTGTTGTTAATCTGAAATAACGACGCGCGTGTGTGGACATGTTTCAATGTGACAAGTGTGTTGAATGAAACACCTGGTCTTCACCTGAGGACGGCTGCTTGCGTTGTGGCCGAAACGTCGTGAGAATTATTGTATTATGTTTTATTTTTATTATTTTATTACTTCTCTTCTACGTGACTTTACCGAAAGAACCAAGAAGATGACTCCCTGCAGTCACGAAAGCTTTAAATCAAAACATGTACATGTGTATGCCCAATGTATACATGTAACAACAATACTGTCAATCTTAATTTTGAAGCTTTCGTGACTGCATCAATTATTCTTTGGTTCTTTCGGTAAAGTCACGTCTAAAGATAAAATAATGATTCTAGATTTGAAGCTTTCGTGACTGCAATGATTCATATTCTTAGGTTTTTTCGGTAAAGTCACCGTGTAGGTAAAAACATTTTAAAGTAAAATAAAAATAAAAATTCACGACGTTTCGGAGGCAACACAAGCTTCCGTCTTCAGGAGGTACCGTCACAGCCACGACAGCTGCATCAAGTAAATGAGAGATTACAGGAGCTACCACTGCGTTTATATAATGGCTGGAGAGGGGGGAAGGGCCGCATACTTTGTATTAATATGGTAAGGTGAGGCTTGAGACCAAGACGAGACTGCATAACAAAGGATATTTTATTTTACTTTTTAATGTTTTTACCTACGTGACTTTACCGAAAAAACCTAAGAATATAAAATAATAAATTAAATAATAGCACACGACGTTTCGACTGCAACACAAGCAATCATCATAATCAGGTATAAATGAAATAGCAACAAATAAATCTAACCAGAAAACTATAGACAGACATATAAGCAGACAGACATCACAGAGATACACAGAGAGAGAGCAACACAGAGACACACACAGAGAGAGACACACAACATAGACACACAGACAGACATATAAGCAGACAGACATCACAGAGATACACAGAGAGAGAGAGTAACACAGGTACAGAGAAACGTCGTATGATGCTATTATTTAATTTATTATTTAATCTTTATACGTGACTTTACCGAAAGAACCAAAGAAGAACAATATTGTTAATTGGTTGTTTACCCTTCTATCTGGCAACAAAACTGACACCTTTTTGCAAGGAGTCATGTTTGCATAGACCGCAATACCTGCAGTCATAATACAAACAAAAGAACATAACTCTGATAGTCTGATGGTGCATTGTCCTTGAGTTGTGCGCCTTTTGGCGTCATCTGGTCCAACCCATATGAGACTAGGCTCGAAGGAAAGCTGTCTCGGGTGTGGACCAATCAACTTCAAGGACAGTGTACATTATCAGAGTTATGTTCTTTTGTTTGTATTATGACTGCAGGTATTGCGGTCTATGCAAACATGACTCCTTGCAAAAAGGTGTCAGTTTTGTTGCCAGATAGAAGGGTAAAGAACCAATTATCATATTTTTACTGGCAAATGAGGTCCCCATAGTGTAGAACAATATTGTCGTTACTGTCCTACCTGCTTTCTAGTTTCTGGGTCCCACTGAGCATTTGTTCATATTTTTCTTTCAATTCGTTTCTTGTCAGTATCACGGCAGTGGCTGAAACATCAAACTGTGAACGATACAACGCAGGTCACTTTACATAAACATAGATAATTAGCCGTACTAATCATTAGATAAGTTCAGGAAGATCTTTAATGAGTCTCAGGAAATTCAGATGGATCCTGCATTGAATTATTGGCATGGTTTATTTGAACGTAGAAGGGAAATAATAAAATAATAAAAATTAAACATTATAAAATATAATTTGGTATTTTGTGTTTCCTCCCAAACACAAAACATGTTCAAATACATTTCGATTTAAATTTTGATTAAAGCTTTCGTGACTGCAGGGATTAATCTTCTTGGTTCTTTCGGTAAAGTCACGTAGAAGGGAAATAATAAAATAATAAAAATAAAACATTATAAAATACAAAATTGTATTCTATTATGTTTAGTTTTTATTATTTTATTACAAAATAGTATTTTATTATGTTTAATTTTTATTATTTTATTATTTCCTTTCTACGTGACTTTACCGAAAGAACCAATCAGATGAATCCCTGCAGTCACCAAAGCTTTAAATCGAAATTTATTTGAACATGTTTTGTGTTTGGGAGGAAACACTAATTCCTGGGGAAAACACACAGGTTCACACAAATGTGTTCATAACCAACTTTCTGTACTGCCATCTCGAGTGTGCATGACACGCACGAGCGCTCCCCACTTCCAGCATGACGACACACGTCCATGAGCTATCACTGCGCTTGTCATCCTATTGGTTATTAACTTTTTACCATTCTCCTAACAAAAGCACATTTACATGTCTTAACAACTGGTGGACATGGAATGACACGTTCATAACTAAGCAAGAAAAGTGTAACAGTGCATCCTGCAGAACCAGCCATGTGGCTCAGAGGTAGAGCAGCCGTCTTGCAATCGTCTGTGCGTTCAACTCATGGCTAGAGGTTGACTCAGCCCATCATCCCTCTTTGGTCGATAAAATGACACATTCATAACTAAGCAAGTGTAACAGTGCATCCTGCAGAACCAGCCATGTGACTCAGAGGTAGAGCAGCCGTCTTGCAATCGTCTGTGCGTTCAACTCATGGCTAGAGGTTGACTCAGCCCATCATCCCTCTTTGGTCGATAAAATGACACATTCATAACTGACTTAGAATAGTGTAACAGTGCATCCTGCAGAACCAGCCATGTGGCTCAGAGGTAGAGCAGCCGTCTTGCAATCGTCTGTGCGTTCAACTCATGGCTAGAGGTTGACTCAGCCCATCATCCCTCTTTGGTCGATAAAATGACACATTCATAACTAAGCAAGTGTAACAGTGCATCCTGCAGAACCAGCCATGTGACTCAGAGGTAGAGCAGCCGTCTTGCAATCGTCTGTGCGTTCAACTCATGGCTAGAGGTTGACTCAGCCCATCATCCCTCTTTGGTCGATAAAATGACACATTCATAACTAAGCAAGTGTAACAGTGCATCCTGCAGAACCAGCCATGTGGCCCAGAGGTAGAGCAGCCGTCTTGCAATCGTCTGTGAGTTCAACTCATGGCTAGAGGTTGACTCAGCCCATCATCCCTCTTTGGTCGATAAAATGACACATTCATAACTAAGCAAGTGTAACAGTGCATCCTGCAGAACCAGCCATGTGACTCAGAGGTAGAGCAGCCGTCTTGCAATCGTCTGTGCGTTCAACTCATGGCTAGAGGTTGACTCAGCCCATCATCCCTCTTTGGTCGATAAAATGACACATTCATAACTGAGTAAGTGTAACAGTGCATCCTGCAGAACCAGCCATGTGACTCAGAGGTAGAGCAGCCGTCTTGCAATCGTCTGTGCGTTCAACTCATGGCTAGAGGTTGACTCAGCCCATCATCCCTCTTTGGTCGATAAAATGACACATTCATAACTAAGCAAGTGTAACAGTGCATCCTGCAGAACCAGCCATGTGGCCCAGAGGTAGAGCAGCCGTCTTGCAATCGTCTGTGAGTTCAACTCATGGTTAGAGGTTGACTCAGCCCATCATCCCCCTTTGGTCGATAAAATGACACATTCATAACTAAGCAAGTGTAACAGTTCATCCTGCAGAACCAGCCATGTGGCTCAGAGGTAGAGCGGCCGTCTTGCAATCGTCTGTGCGTTCAACTCATGGCTAGAGGTTGACTCAGCCCATCATCCCTCTTTGGTCGATAAAATGACACATTCATAACTAAGCAAGTGTAACAGTTCATCCTGCAGAACCAGCCATGTGGCTCAGAGGTAGAGCGGCCGTCTTGCAATCGTCTGTGAGTTCAACTCATGGCTAGAGGTTGACTCAGCCCATCATCCCTCTTTGGTCGATAAAATGACACATTCATAACTGAGTAAGTGTAACAGTTCATCCTGCAGAACCAGCCATGTGACTCAGAGGTAGAGCGGCCGTCTTGCAATCGTCTGTGCGTTCAACTCATGGCTAGAGGTTGACTCAGCCCATCATCCCTCTTTGGTCGATAAAATAGGTATCACTTCGTGAAAAAGTCTACATTGGTTGTTCTTTGGAAAGACTCTCCCATTCCATTGGAATCGAGGAGGTCCACCCCTGGCCGAGGGCTGTAAGTAGGAGATGAGCATCACATCAATAAGCAAGAAATCTTGACCTCTTCAAAATAGATGCTGCATTGTCCACATGATGGGTTTCAAGAGATGGGATCCAATAAACCAGAATACATTTGTGCACAATGCATTTAAGTTTTAGAACGGATACAGTAAAACTTTGGACTGCGAGTAATTTGATCTGCGAGTGTTTTGCAAGACGAGCAAAATTTTTAAAATAAATATTAATTTGATGAACGAGCGAGGTCTTGCAATACGAGCAGTGCGTGTGTACGCTTTGTCTGCCGAGCGTCACGCGATCACAACTGATACTATAAGAGTGTCTTCTTGGTTCTTTCGGTAAAGTCACGTAGAAGAGAAATAATAAAATAATAAAAATAAAACATAATAAAATAATTCTCACGACGTTTCGGCCACAACGCAAGCAGCCGTCCTCAGGTGAAGAACAGGTCTGTCGATTAGACAGCGTCTGAATGAAACGTCCTCGGCTTGGAGCGTCTATTTAAGCTGGGAATTATTTTGTCAAGGCGCTCTTCCTCCTCCCTCCCAGCTTAAATAGACGCTCCAAGCCTAGGACGTGTCATTCAGACTCTGTCTCATCGACAGACCTGTTCTTCGCCTGAGGACGGCTGCTTGCGTTGTGGCCGAAACGTCGTGAGAATTATTTAATTGTGTTTTATTTTTATTATTTTATTATTTCCCTTCTACGTGACTTTACCGAAAGAACCAAGAAGATGAATCCCTGCAGTCACGAAAGCTTTACATCGAAATATAATATTATATGATCATATTAATTTATCATTTTATTATAATATTTTATTATATTATTATATTATTTCATTATGTTGTATTTTTATTACTTTATTACTTCCCTTAACTATACGAGTGCTCTAGATTACAAACACATTTACGGTACGAATTATGTTCGCAATCCAAAGTTTTACCGTACTTAGTTCAGAAAAGTAAGGATGCATGAACCAACATATACAGAAGATGTGCATCTACCTGCGGTCTTCCTGCCCTGCCAATCATCTGTAGAATATCTGTGTCCCTATATTCTTGCAGCATGCCTCCCCCGGTGTAGTGCATCGTCGATTTGACGATGACCAGGTGTGCAGGAAGGTTGACACCCATAGCCAGTGTACTTGTGGAGACTGCAGAGAAATCAAACAAACACAGTTTGATTTAAAGCTTCTTTCGTGACTGCAGGGATTCGTCTTCTTGGTTCTTTCGGTAAAGTCACGTAGAAGGGAAGTTATAAAATAATAAAAATTAAACATAATAAAATAATAAACTTTTGATTTAAAGCTTTCGTGACTGCAGGGATTCGTCTTCTTGGTTCTTTCGGTGAAGTCACGTAGAAGGGAAATAATAAAATAACAAAATTGTAACATAATAAAATAATTTAAAGCTTCTTTCGTGACTGCAGGGATTCGTCTTCTTGGTTCTTTCGGTAAAGTCGCGTAGAAGGGAAGTAATACAATAATAAAATTTTACATAATAATTATTATGTTATTTTATTATGTTTCATTTTTATTATTTCATTACTTCCCTTCTACGTGACTTTACCGAAAGAACCAAGAAGACAAACAAACACACTCTGTATTTGCACCATTCTTTCATCACAAGGCGATCCCGAAAGAACCCGCTGTGTTTGCACACATTCTGCAGTAGTTTCGCGGATGGGGCAATGTTGCTAGATGCTCCATAATAGAGGTTTTGGGTTATTAGTATATATGGCTCAGTATGGGTTTGTAATCCTGAAATATGCACACATGACAGACCCTACTAATTTCACAAAGCCGCATGCAAACCTGATACATGGACACGTATATCAATCTACAATCTAGTAGTAGGTTTTTACCCTTTCAACTGGTACACTGGTAAAGGAGATGCCTCATAGTATAATCTACAATCTCTCCATGAATAAAGTGTATACTCATATTTTACGTACACAGTACTGGCAGTTCTCCTCGCAAGAAAACGTCTTCAATGTTTCTTCGATCAGACATTTCCATTCCTGCATGATGGTATGCAATTCCTTTCGTCAGCAAATCTACAACAGTAATAAAAACAAATGACACGAATGTTTACTTGATATTTCGATGCAATTATTTTCAATCCTCGTTAACAAAGCACAGTGAGAGCTTTACAAGCGTACCTCTCAACTTGATATCCTTCAGGTAAGAAGCATGCACCTGCAGTCTGAAATGACAATAAATGATCGGTATATATGGTGTAGTGGTGAGCACGCTAGACTTGTAATCAATTCCACCTTCCACCCTCACTCACCCCACTCACTCACCCACTCATTCACACTCACACCCATTCACTCACCCACCCACTCACTCATTCACTCACTCACCCCACTCATTCACTCACCCACACTCACCACCCACTCACTCACTCACTCACCCCACTCACTCACTCACCCACCTCATTCACTCACCCACTCACCCACTAACTCACCCACTCACCCACTCACTCACCCACTCACTCACCCACTCACTCACTCACTCACCCACTCACTCACTCACCCACTCACTCACTCACCCACTCACCCACTAACTCACCCACTCACTCACCCACTCACTCACCCACTCACTCCACTCACTTACCCACTCACTCACTCACCCACTCACTCACCCTTCACTCACTCACCTACTCACCCACTCACTCACTCATTCACTCACCCACTCACTCCACTCACTCACCCACTCACTCCTCACTCACCCACTCACCCACCCACTCACTCACCCACTCACTCACCACACTCACTCACTCACCCACCCAACCACACCACCCACTCACTCACTCACCCCACTCACCCACTCACTCACTCACCCACTCACTCACCCACTCACTCACTCACTCACCCAGAAACTCACTCACTCACCCACCCACACTCACCCACTCACTCACTCACTCACCCACTCATTCACTCACCCACTCACCCACACTCACCCACTCACTCACCCACTCACTCACCCACTCACTCACTCACTTACCCACTCACTCACTCACCCACTCACTACCTCACCCATTCACTCACTCACCTACTCACCCACTCACTCACTCATTCACTCACCACTCACTCCACTCACCACCCTCACTCACTCACCCACTCACCCACCCACTCACTCACCCACTCACTCACCCACTCACTCACTCACCCACCCACCACCCACTCACTCACTCACCCACTCACCCACTCACTCACTCACCCACTCACTCACCCACTCACTCACTCACTCACCCACTCACTCACTCACTCACCCACTCACTCACTCACTCACCCACTCATTCACTCACCACTCACCCACTAACTCACCCACCACTCACCCACTCACTCCACTCACTTACCCACTCACTCACTCACCCCTCACTCACCCATTCCTCACCACCTACTCACCCACTCACTCACTCATTCACTCACCCACTCACTACACTCACTCACCCACTCACTCACCCCACCCATCACTCATCCACTCACTCACTCACTCACCCATCATTCACTCACCCACTCACCCACTCACTCACTCACTCACCCACTCATTCACTCACCCACTCACCCTAACTCACCCACTCACTCACCCACTCACTCCACTCACTTACCCACTCACTCCACTCACCCCCATCACTCACCCCATTCACTCACTCACCTACTCACCCACTCACTCACTCATTCACTCACCCACTCACTACACTCACTCACCCCTCACTCACTCACCCACCCACTCACTCACCCACTCACTCACTCACTCACCCACTCATTCACTCACCCACTCACCCACTAACTCACCCACTCACTCACCCACTCACTCACCCACTCACTCCACTCACTACCCACCTCACACTCACCACCACTCACCCATTCACTCACTCACCTACTCACCCACTCACTCACTCATTCACTCACCCACCACTCCACTCACTCACCCACTCACTCACCACCCACTCACCCACACACTCACTCCCACCTCACTCACCCACTCACTCACTCACTCCACCCACCCAACCACCCACTCACTCACTCACTCACTCACTCACTCACACTCACCACTCCTCACTCACCCACTCACCCACTCACTCACTCACCCACTCACTCACCCCACTCACTCACTCACTCACCCCTCACTCACCCTCACTCACTCACTCACTCACCCACTCACTCACCCACCCAACCACCCACTCACTCACTCCCCACTCACCCACTCACCCACTCACACCCTAACTCACCCACTCACTCACCCCCACTCCACTCACTTACCCACTCACTCACTCACCCACTCCTCACCCATTCACTCACCACCTACTCACCCACTCACTCACTCATTCACTCACCCACTCACTACACTCACTCACCCCTCACTCACTCACCCCCCACTCACTCACCCACTCACTCACTCATCACCCACTCATTCACTCACCCACTCACCCACTAACTCACCCACTCACTCCCCACTCACTCACCCACTCACTCCACTCACTTACCCACTCACTCCTCACCCACACTCACCCATTCACTCACTCACCTACTCACCCCACTCACTCACTCATTCACTCACCCACTCACTCCACCACATCCACCTCACTCACTCACTCACCCTCACCACCCACCCACTCACTCACCCACTCACCACCACTCACTCACTCACCCACCCAACCACCCACTCACTCACTCACTCACTCACTCACCACTCACCCACTCACTCACTCACCCTCACTCACCCACTCACTCACTCACTCCACCCACTCACTCACCCACTCACTCACTCACTCACCCACTCACTCACCCACTCATCCCCACCCAACCCCCACTCACTCACTCACTCACCCACTCACCCACTCACTCACTCACCCACTCACTCACCCACTCACTCACTCACTCACTCACCCACTCACTCACCCACTCACTCACTCACTCACCCACTCACTCACCCACTCATTCACTCACCCCCCACCACTAACTCACCCACTCACTCACCCACTCACCCCCCACTCACTCCACTCACTTACCCACTCACTCACTCACCCACTCACTCACCCATTCACTCACTCACCTACTCACCCACTCACTCACTCATTCACTCACCCACTCACTCCACTCCACTCACACTCACTCACTCACTCACCCACTCATCCCCCCTCCTACACACTCACTCACCCCACTCCCTCACTGACACAACCACCACACACTCACTCACTCAATCACCCACTCACCACCCAATCACTCATCACTCACCACTACTCACCCAACTCACTCACTTCACTTAACCCATCCACGCACCCTCCCACTTACCCACACAGACCACTCACTCATCCATCACTCACCACCCACCACCCACTCACGCACGGCACTCACTCACACCACTCACCCACCACCACCAATCACCCACTCACCACTCACCACTCACTCACCCCACTCACTCACTCCACTCACCCACTCACTCACCCACTCACTCACTCACTCACCCAACTCACTCATCCGCATCATTCACTAGCCCACTCACCCACTAACCAGCCATCACTCAACCCACTCACTCACCACTCACTAACTCACTACCCACTCACTCCTCACCCCACTCACTCAACCCATTCACGCACCTCACCCAGCTAGCCTCACTCACTCACTCATTCACTCACCCACTCACTCCACTCACTCACCCACTCACTCACTCACCCACTCACCCACCCACTCACTCACCCACTCACGTCACCCACTCACTCACTCACCCACCCAACACCCACTCACTCACTCACTCACCCACTCACTCACCCACTCACTCACTCACTTACCCATCCACTCACCCACCCACTTACCCACCCAGCCCACTCACTCATCCACTCACTCACCCACCCACTCACCCACTCACTCACGCACTCACTCACCCACTCACCCACCCACCCACTCTCTCTCTCACTCACCCACTCACTCACCCACCTCACTCACTCACCTATCACCCACTCACTCATTCACTCACCCACTCACCCACCCACTCACCCACTCTTTCACTCATTCACCCACTCACTCACCCACCCACTCACTCACCCACTCACTCACTCACCCACTCCACTCCCACCCACTCACTCACCACTCACGCCACTCACTCACTCACCTACTCACCCACTCACTCATCCACTCACCTACTCACCCACCCCACTCCTCTCTGCTCACTCACTCCCTCACTCACCCACTCACCCATTCACTCATTCACTCACCCACTCACTCACTCACGCATCCACCCACTCACTCACTCACCCACCACCCACCCACTCACTCACTCACCCACTCACTCACCCACTCACTCACTCACCCACTCACCCACTAACCACTCACTTACTCACCACTCACCTACTCACTACTCACCCACCTCACTCACCCACTCACTCACTCACCCACCCACCCACTCACCCACTCACTCACTCACCCACTCACTCACTCACCCACCCAAACCACCCCATCCCCACTCACTCACTCACCCACCCACCCCTCACCCACTCACTCACTCACCTACTCACCCACTCACTCACCCACTCACCTACTCACCCCTCTTCACCTCTACTCACTCACTCACGATCTTTTAAACAACGGTGCACGTGTTTTTAACCCCCCTCCCTCCCCCACCACTGCCCGTGCCCAATGAAGCAGTGTATAAACACACAAGCCGGCAGGTGGCGCGTAGTGCGGTAAAGTGTGGGTACGCCTGCCTCTCCCATCACGTCTGGTCAATGTGACAGAGTAGACATTATCGATTTAAAGCTTCTTTCGTGACTGCAGGGATTCATCTTCTTGGTTCTTTCGGTAAAGTCACGTAGAAGGGAAGTACTGCTGCTGCAGCAGCAACTGCAGCTCCCTTTGATGCTGTTAATCCTGCATGATGCACATGCATATGCAGTACTAATCACATTCCTGCATTTCCCATAAATATGCTACATTCCTCTTGATATGCAAATTCCTTTGTCAATGCGCCCAGCTTATATATATGCTCCAAGCTCGTGTGCTGTTTCATTCAGACTCTGTCGCCTCGACGGACCTGGTTTTCACCTGAGGAC